TGGTGTCGATCATTCGATTTCATCCTGGACACTACAGAAAATGGGCTTAAAGTGTAAAAAACCGAACTTCTCCTTTAAGTCAAAAATATGTAAACCACTAATTAGAACTAATTGAATAGAAATTTCACTTCAGGCAGCTAATCCCTTGCCCTGTTTTTTATTCCATGCTTTTCTGTTCCCCCATGAAAACACACTGGCCCCCCGCTGGCCCCCTCCTGGCCCCCTGGTACATTGGGTCTAGAACCGCCCCTGCTGGTATTATTTCCTGTGTCTATCAGGCGCTGCTGCTCTCCAGTCTGTGTGTTTAATAAAGCTCCTGTCTCTCCAGCTGCCATCGAGGCCTGCCTGACTCACCTCCTGAAGAGACGAGCAGCCGGATTTCTCCGAAGCGACAAGATCGCCGCCCTCTTCACCAAGGTTGGCAAAGCGTACGACACGGCGGGGGATGTTTGTCAGAAGGTTCAGGAGCAGCTCCAACAGCAGGCGGATCTCAACAGGTTGGTAGCACGGATACCTGAACACAGATTCATCCACAGACCTTTAGGCATTACTGCCTGGCCCATGGGCACGTGGCAGCGGAAGAAGCTGCAGCTGAACACTGATATGGCTTAGAAATAAAATATCAGATTTTATTCCTTGCATTATAAAAATGACAGAGAATTCCTTTAAAAATGAGCTTTTATTTGAAACATCCCTCTTGGGAGGCGACCTTAATTTAAAGGCATATAAAGAAGTCATGTTTGACAGCAAACAGGCGATGGTCGGACGCAGCGGGACATATTATCAGTTATTAGCTGATATCAGCAGGTGTTACAGAAGCAGAAAGAGCAGATCACACAGAAAACATAAATCACTTTAACAGAAAATAAAACAAACCAATCGGCCAGCCCTTCCTAGAACTATTTGACTAGAACAACTGTGGGCACTGATCTGTTAACGGCTCTATGATCAGCGTATGAATAAATATCTATATTTTTTATTTATAATAAAGTAAATTAATTAGCCTTGCTGCAAAAGCACCAGAATTAGCCAAGAAGCTATTTTTCATCTGTTGACATATCTTAAAATTGTCTTCCTTAAAAAAAAAAAAATTAAAGACAACAGTAAACATTTTACAGTAAATAAAACAAAGATAAAAAGGAATAAAACAGAGTTCAAGTTTGGCAGAATAGGGTTTCTAGAATTACACTATATATATATATATATGTATATATATATAATTGTGTTGTGTTGTTTTATTCCTTTTTATTTTTGTTTTATTTACCGTAAATTTTTTACTGTTGTCTTTAAATTTTTTAGGTTTTTTTAGGGAGACAATTTTAAGATATATCAACAGATAAAAAATAGCCTCTTGGCTAATTCTGGTGCTTTTGCAGCAAGGTTTATTAATTTACTCTGTCAAATAAATGAATACAATTATAAATAAAAAAATATAGATATTTATTCATACGCTGATCATAGAGCCGTTAACAGATCGTTGCCCACAGTTGCTCTAGTCAAATAGTTCTAGGAAGGGCTGGCTGATTGGTTCGTTTTATTTTCTGTTAAAGTGATTTATGTTTTCTGACTGATATCTCTCTCTCTCTCTCTATATATATATATATATAGATATAGATATATCTATATCTATATATATATATCTATATCTATATCTATATATATAGATATACACACAGCAGAGACATATATTGTCATCATTGGTGAAAATATAGCAGCAAAGCATGAACAGTTAGCACAGCGATGCACGGCTGGGATTTACGACCACCTGTTCTTATCTCTCTGTGGTTGGACCTTTCCAAACCGTCCTCAGCGTGCTGATAACTGAGCAGACTGGACTGTCTGCTTTTTTTAAGCTGAGCAGTTTGTCTACAGGTGAGATAAGCCTGGGGGCTGCAGCTACCAGCTCCCACAGAGGTGTGGGTTATTGTGTTTTGCTCTGTGGGTGTTTGTGTGGAATATGATGAGCTGCTTGATCTGCAGGCACTTAGCTACCAGCTGCGTTGTGAAGGGTCCCTTTAATGGAGCATTAGCCGGTGCCACATGGCTTCCACGTCCTCCAGGGCTGCAGCCAGATGAAGGACTGAGAGCTTTGGGTGTCAGGCTCACAGGCAGACCTCAGGCTGCAGCGCCGGACCCTCGGTGGCTCCTGAGGTAAAGAAGAGGATGTGGTTTTTATAGAGTGGAGCTCAGCAGGCGTCCTTTCGCAGCTTTCACATCCAGCAGGCTGTTTCTCCAGGCTGAGGCATGAACGCCTGCTAACGAGCGCAGCTCCGCTTTGCTCCGGTCACACCCTTCCTCCATACAGGCAGTCGAGCACACGCAGTCAGTCATGCTAACTCTTGTCCTACTACCTCAGGGCGCTTTCACCCATTTACCCTGGTCTCCATGGTAACGCGGTCTGCTCCATTAGCAGCATAGAGGAGTAAAAACAAAGGCTTTGATGGGAGAGAAGAGCAAAGATTAGCAGAGGAAGGAAGCGGAATGTGATCAGTAGAGCCAGAGGTTTATGTTTGGGACATGGATGAAATTCAGTGTTTGTCTGCGTAAACCTGGCTGTGAAACCCTGCAACTAAACATCTCCGTTTTCATTTGTTTCTTTAGGATTCCCCTTCTTTAGGGCGTATAGTGTCCTGTCACCTCGGATTATACAGGTGCCTGATGTCCTGTATGAAAGACATCAGCAATTACCTTAAAGAGGCACCAGTTGTTGCAAATTAATTTTTAAAGGCTAATCGCTCCCTTTCCAAACAGAATAAAGTCCACTATTCTGCAGTGAGAGCCATTTCTCACAAATGGAAAGGAAAACATTTAGTGTAGTTGCCAATATTACCGGCGATGGATGCAGATTCCAGCAAATATCAGACCAACAAACCCCAGAGAAATTATTTTTTAAAAGCTAAAAATTTCAGACTTAGCAGATGGATTTTCAATAATTTAGTACATTTAATAAGAGCAAATAGAGACGCCTGGCTGTGGTGCAATCTGCACTCCTACATGAAAACCCCAAAGCAGCTCCAACCAACCAGGAAGCTGGTTCCCTTCTAGGGTTGGGAACTGATAAGACTTTCACGATTACGATTCAGTTATCGATTCTATGAAACGGTTCGATTCCTTATCGATTCCGTTTAATAAAAAACATTACTGTACAATGTTGGGAAATAAACTCATCTCCCCCTGATTCAAATAAACATTCATAGCATATTTCGTTACATCCATTGCAATAGCTAGAATCATGTAAGAATTCCAGCTACCAGTAGTTCTAATTAAACATGCTAGCAATGAAGGGCTGGATTAACGAGAAAGGAACACTCCCTGAATAACCCCAAAGAGAGGTAGGAAATGGGTTTATTTCCAGAAATGGGATCTGATGTAGTAGGAACCATATTAAGCACAGCCAGTGACATAAACTAGCTACTAACCACCAGTTTCCTTCCATGGTGGTCGTAACTTTAGCTTCTGTCCGGAAGCATCAAAAACACAGCATTAGTTAAAACATAAGCCATATTGTGTGCGCGGGTGTTTCCGCATGTTGGGTGTAGGTGTATTTCCTCATACGGATGTAATTGCCACTTTGCATTGATTGCAAAGCGCCTTGTTGCTATCTTTCTCTCCCTTCAAATTAAGCCAAACTTTCGATCGCTTTACCCGATGGGACGCCATTTTTTGTTTTGCTTTTCTAGACTTACGTCTGGTCCTGTCGTACTTCCTTACTGAATGCGGTGTGCGTAACTTGCATAAAAACGTGACGTAAGTCGTGCTGCCCAGCGCTAGGCTAGGATAGGATAAGAGAATCGTTAAACGAGCTGCCAAACGGTGCCATGAAATTGGAACACATGGAACTGGTTCTGAACAGAAACCGGTTTTCGATTCCCATCCGTATTCCCTTCACATGCTAATTTCTATTAGATAGAAAGCGGTATCTTCAATTCTATTCAGTTTATTTCTATAGCGCCAATTCACACTCAAGGCACTTTCCAGTTCACCAGATCATCCAGTCAGATTGATTCAAAGTTTTCTATCTAAGGAAAACCAGCTGATTGCATCGACTCATTGACTCTTCAGCAATCCCTCACACTAAGCATGCTTGTAGCGACAGTGGAGAGGAAAAACTCCCTTTGAACAGGAAGAAACCTCCAGCAGAACCAGGCTCAGTGTGAGCGGCCATCTGCTGAGGCCCACTGGGGTTCAAGGAGACAGAAGCAGACGTAGAAAAAGAAGCAGATGTTATTAAAAAGTGAGGAGAGGACAGGGTTGTGAGGAAATGCTGTTATTTTTTTTACGCTCAATGCCGTACTGTATGTGAGCACAAGATCCAAAATATGAAGATGAGAATGTGTGTGACTACTCACATTTTGAACAAAGCCAATGGAGTCTAAGATAGCATTAAGCTGTAACCTTCAGTGTCAGCATGGATGTTAAAATCCTCCACTTTTATGACCCTTTCAGTATTCAGCACCAAATCAGAGAGGAATCCTGAAAAGTCATCTAAAAGTTCAGAGAAGGGACCTGGTGGACGATACAAAGTTACTAAAGGAAGAGGTTTTCCTGCTTTGCAATTTGGGATGATCTAAAAAATAATCTAAAAATACGTATATCAATATATTTTGAGATATTTAGATTTTATAATTTAATTTTTCTTTGCTTTTTTATGCCTTAATCAAGTTCATTGGGTGGGTGGGGGCGGCACCCTAGCGCCCTCTATTGACCAGCTGCCACTGGGTTAGACTCAGCTTTTTTTCCTAATGGGAGGGGAGCACAATGCCAATTGTAGGCATTTGAAAATGGCGTCACATGTGAAAAATACACGTTAACGCTCTTTTTTCAGTGGCTTTACTCTTGTTAAATATAGTGGAATTAAAAAGGAGTGCCTTTACGATTTGAATTTTTTTGTTAAATTGCGATTATATTGTAAATGCATTTAATTGCAAAGCCCTATTTCCTTCCTCAGAAGACATTATTTCCTAAACAAAACACCTGTTTGTTCCGGCGGCAGACTGCAACGCTTTTTTCATGCAGGTGCACAACACTGCCTTGGCCAGTGGGGGCGCCGTGTGCAGAAACTGCAAAAAAATAAAATTAGGATTTGGTTTTGCAGTATGTGATTTAATTTTGTAATCTGTTTTTTTTTTTTTACAAATAAAGGTTGAAACTATAACATTTAGCAATAATCGTTTTTTTTGTGTTTGTTTGTTTGCTTGGCTTTAAATGTGTTTGATGGGTTTTTTTCTTGCGTGGGGGGAGTGGTTGCCTAGTGGTTAGGGCATAGGGCTTTGAATCCCGAGATTGTGAGTTTGATCCCCCTCTGGCTCCCTGAGCAAGACCCTTAACCCCACACTGCTCCCCAGGCGCCTCACAATGGCAGCCCACTGATCTAAAGCCAGTCAAGGGACAGTGACTGCTCTGTCTTACCTGCTGCATAACAGGAAGCAGGGAGAAAGTTTGGTTGTTTCAGTCTTTTTAATCTCATCTCCCAGCTGAATATTGCTAAAAAGTTATACAAGGTTCTTCCTCCTCTTTCACCAAACTGGTCCATAGATAGATGTTCAGGTATGGACGAGGAAATGCTCTCGTTCCGGTTCCTCCTGCCTTTAACACCCACCATGGATTCCTCCCACACTGCAGGCATCCATCGTTTCTCTCTCACATCTTCCTCCTCGCCGGCCTCTGAAGTGCTGAGCACACTTCCAGCGTTAGGGGACTGCAAGAATCGTGACTTAGCTGAAACCCTGCTGGCATACGAGCACGCCCACATGCATGCACGTGCACGTCGCACACTCACAGAGTGTCTGACATCGTGACTGCAGCAGCTCAGCCCCCCCCCCTCGGTACAGAGACATAAACACGGACTCATTAGCTCGTTGAAGTCGGTGCGTGTTGGTGGATGTGTTCCTGATCAAACTCCGTCTATAATCAAAGTCTTCATCTCCCAAACACAAAGGTCATCTGCTGACAAACTCCCAGCCGCTGATGTCTGGATGACACCACACATTGAGTGTGACAGGAAAGGGACACAGACAGGTTAATTATTGATGACTTCTGATGAAGTAAAGAGCTGATGGATGGCTATGCTGGCTCACACTGCCTCCTAATGGTCATAGACTAAATGTTCCCTCCTCTTCATCTTTGTGCTTATTTTCAGTGATAGATCAGCATATAGTAGATCAGTTTGATGACGTTATGGGACAATGTAATCCGTTTTATTGGTCAGATCTGAAAAGTGTGGCGTGCATTTATATTCAGCTCATCTGAGGCGTTTGAATCACCGTTCAATGCAGCACCAAGGCTGACATGTTTACTGTAGCACTACACTGAAGCGTAGCCAGAACGTTTTTATAAGGGTGTCCAGGCAGTAACCAGTGTAGACTGAGGGGGGGCGAAAGTTGATAGGCACCAGAAAGAGCATCAATTCTGTATCAAGTAATTTTTCATATATAAAAAATGTAAATGTTTTGAATTTTCCACTCTAAAGTTAGCCTGATAAACCAGACTAAATGTTAGACGAAAGGTGTTATTTAGTCTGGCCCCAATGAATGACACATCAGAAGATTGTTGATGAGAACAGGCCGTTGTTTTTCAAACCATGTCTCTCCCTATTGGCCAACGCTCTGACCAATGAGAGCCACTGACTGTGACGTAGGAAGCACGCAGCGGTGTCAGAAGTTCACACATTAGTTACTTCAGTAGAAGTATAGATCCTGCAGATTAAAAATACTCTGGTAAAAGTTGAAGCATCAACTTGACCTCTTTACTCAAGTAAAAGTAAAAAAGTATGTGCTCCAAAAACTACTTAAAGTATAAAAGAATAAAGTAACCTTTAAAAAAAACAGCCAGATGCCGCTATATGAACTGGAAGCTCAATTTTTCAACTATTTCTATAAATTATTCTATTCCACAAAGCTTGTTTATGACCAGCTGCAACCAGAGCAGCTTCAGCCTCTGGTTGGCTGTTTTTCTTCCTTCTGCTCACAGGCCAGCTGCTTTGTGAAGTGGCCGATTAGAAGCTGAGCTGTCAACAAATTCTCCAAACAGAGTCNATCCCCCTCTGGCTCCCTGAGCAAGACCCTTAACCCCACACTGCTCCCCAGGCGCCTCACAATGGCAGCCCACTGATCTAAAGCCAGTCAAGGGACAGTGACTGCTCTGTCTTACCTGCTGCATAACAGGAAGCAGGGAGAAAGTTTGGTTGTTTCAGTCTTTTTAATCTCATCTCCCAGCTGAATATTGCTAAAAAGTTATACAAGGTTCTTCCTCCTCTTTCACCAAACTGGTCCATAGATAGATGTTCAGGTATGGACGAGGAAATGCTCTCGTTCCGGTTCCTCCTGCCTTTAACACCCACCATGGATTCCTCCCACACTGCAGGCATCCATCGTTTCTCTCTCACATCTTCCTCCTCGCCGGCCTCTGAAGTGCTGAGCACACTTCCAGCGTTAGGGGACTGCAAGAATCGTGACTTAGCTGAAACCCTGCTGGCATACGAGCACGCCCACATGCATGCACGTGCACGTCGCACACTCACAGAGTGTCTGACATCGTGACTGCAGCAGCTCAGCCCCCCCCCCTCGGTACAGAGACATAAACACGGACTCATTAGCTCGTTGAAGTCGGTGCGTGTTGGTGGATGTGTTCCTGATCAAACTCCGTCTATAATCAAAGTCTTCATCTCCCAAACACAAAGGTCATCTGCTGACAAACTCCCAGCCGCTGATGTCTGGATGACACCACACATTGAGTGTGACAGGAAAGGGACACAGACAGGTTAATTATTGATGACTTCTGATGAAGTAAAGAGCTGATGGATGGCTATGCTGGCTCACACTGCCTCCTAATGGTCATAGACTAAATGTTCCCTCCCCTTCATCTTTGTGCTTATTTTCAGTGATAGATCAGCATATAGTAGATCAGTTTGATGACGTTATGGGACAATGTAATCCGTTTTATTGGTCAGATCTGAAAAGTGTGGCGTGCATTTATATTCAGCTCATCTGAGGCGTTTGAATCACCGTTCAATGCAGCACCAAGGCTGACATGTTTACTGTAGCACTACACTGAAGCGTAGCCAGAACGTTTTTATAAGGGTGTCCAGGCAGTAACCAGTGTAGACTGAGGGGGGGCGAAAGTTGATAGGCACCAGAAAGAGCATCAATTCTGTATCAAGTAATTTTTCATATATAAAAAATGTAAATGTTTTGAATTTTCCACTCTAAAGTTAGCCTGATAAACCAGACTAAATGTTAGACGAAAGGTGTTATTTAGTCTGGCCCCAATGAATGACACATCAGAAGATTGTTGATGAGAACAGGCCGTTGTTTTTCAAACCATGTCTCTCCCTATTGGCCAACGCTCTGACCAATGAGAGCCACTGACTGTGACGTAGGAAGCACGCAGCGGTGTCAGAAGTTCACACATTAGTTACTTCAGTAGAAGTATAGATCCTGCAGATTAAAAATACTCTGGTAAAAGTTGAAGCATCAACTTGACCTCTTTACTCAAGTAAAAGTGAAAAAGTATGTGCTCCAAAAACTACTTAAAGTATAAAAGAATAAAGTAACCTTTAAAAAAAACAGCCAGATGCCGCTATATGAACTGGAAGCTCAATTTTTCAACTATTTCTATAAATTATTCTATTCCACAAAGCTTGTTTATGACCAGCTGCAACCAGAGCAGCTTCAGCCTCTGGTTGGCTGTTTTTCTTCCTTCTGCTCACAGGCCAGCTGCTTTGTGAAGTGGCCGATTAGAAGCTGAGCTGTCAACAAATTCTCCAAACAGAGTCATGAACCTCAGTTCTTTTTGGCGTTCATGTTGAAGGCTATAGTCTAATAGATCTGCAGTTGAACATTACTCTTCTTGGGTTAGTGTTAAACAACCTAACATCTGTGTGAAAATTAATCTAAGAATTAATACAGGATTGGAAAATCACTGTCTCTTCACACAGCCGTCATTTACAGGATCCTCTGTTCTCTACAGCAGTGATTCCCAACCGGGCTAGCTTACCCCTAGTGGTCCGCGAATGCATTGCAACGGCTACATGAAAGTAATTTATTTCTTAGGTAATAAAATAAAATCTGTTTTGCTTTCTGAGGTACCAAATTTTAAATGAAAAAAAATTAAAATTAAACAAGATTGTATCAAAAAAAAAAAACTTTTTTCTTAAATGTCTGAGTTCATCTTCAGCTTTGACACACATTCAAACCAAGCAGCGGAACGGCTTCGTTTTTCACACTGAGCTATAATGAAAATAAAGTAAAACTAATAAAGTTTACTTTACAGAATACTGTCAGACTGACTCTATAATTTTTGTTCCCAATTCATCAAATTTAAACTTGATTATAAGGGAGTTACCCAGAGCAGCTCCAGTTTAATAAATACAGGATTACATTTTCATTTTATTTTGTATTTATTTCTATTCAACACTAATTTCCAGACAGCATATTTATGTTAGGAATAAAATTCCTAAGAATTAAATGTTCAAATTAAAAGATTAAGCAAAATAGTTTTTTATTTATATGCGATTATTGTATGTTCCACTTTTGACTGAGAGGGGAACACAATGGGAAACACTGCTCTATAGCAGTGGTCTACAAAGTGGGGGCTGCCAGGGGGCGCTAGGTGGGCTTTACAAAATGTGGGAAAAAATATATTTTTTTTCATTATCATAAAATTCAGTATAATTTGAACATAAAACAGCGTGGGGGATTTGACCTGAACAGTGAGGCTCTTCCGTTCTGAATGGACCATTCCACCTTGGCTGACAGAGCACAGAAATGTCTTTTTGCAATAATTGTGTGAATCTGACTTTTATATCTCAGTCTTATGTTTACATTTGATCAGTGCTGCACTTTAAGAAATTGGAACATCTTCAGAGCTGTACTGATGAAAGTTCGTTTTGTATAAACTCTGTGTGGTGTCCTCTGCTCCCTGCAGGAGAGCCCAGAGCGTTGGCCATGAACCTCTGAGAAGACAGGGCTCCTCCACCACCAGCCGCCCCCCCCAGCCGCTGTCTGCCCAGGCTATCAAACACATCTGGGTCCGAACTGCTCTCTTTGAGAAAGTTCTGGATAAGATAGTCCAGCACATCGTGGACAACTCCAGGTATGATTTCCTTCTTATTGCTTTGCTCGTCTTACTGTGACTCAGCTGTTTAGCATTTGGTGAAAAATGAGGGGGCCTCTGCATGTCATCTCCTGCTCAGAGTGAGGAAAACAGTTCTATTCAGTTTATTTCTATAGCTCCAATTCACATCATGTCATCTCAGGTCACTTTCCAGTTCACCAGATCATCCAGTCAGATTGATTCAAAGTTTTCTATCTAAGGAAAACCAGCTGATTGCCTCGACTCATTGACTCTTCAGCAATCCCTCACACTAAGCATGCTTGTAGCGACAGTGGAGAGGAAAAACTCCCTTTGAACAGGAAGAAACCTCCAGCAGAACCAGGCTCAGTGTGAGCGGCCATCTGCTGAGGCCCACTGGGGTTCAAGGAGACAGAAGCAGACATAGAAAAAGAAGCATAGATACAAAAGGCAACTGTCAACCAGCTCCACAGGCGGCCCCGTCCAGGAAACACACAGCCAGGCAGACGAGCTCCGAGCCAGCTCCCATGTCAGAGGATGAAGAGAGCACATCCAGTTAGTCACAGTCAGAGAAACAGGACTACACTGGAAAACAGGCCAAGCTCCAACATCTAGAAACAAAGGTGTTGATGGCAGCAGCACAGCTGATATTTCTCTCCAGGATGGAGTCACAGCCAAACAGGAACAGACCAGATGAAGCTACTATGAGAAAAAGCAGAGAGAGCAGAACGTTAGAGATTGAACTAACAGATTCTGCAGAGTGGGAGAATAGAGATAGAATGAAGCAGAATGATGAAAAAGGGGTCCCTATGTCCTCCAGCAGTCTAAGCCTATAGCAGTAGAACTATAGAGATAGATCAGGATAACCTGAGCCACTCTAACTAGAAGCTTTATCAAAAAGGAAAGTTTTAAGCCTAGCCTTAAAAGTAGACAGGGTGTCTGCCTCACGGACTAAAACTGGTAGTTGGTTCCACAGGAGAGGAGCCTGAGAACTAAAAGATCTGCCTCCCATTCTACTTTTAGAAATTCTAGGAACCACTAGTAAACCTGCAGATTGAGAGCGAAGTGCTCTGTTAGGAACATCAGGAACAATCAGATCTCTGATATCAGATGGAGCTTGGCCATTTAAGGCTTTATATGTGAGAAGGAGGATTTTAAATTCTATTCTGGATTTAACAGGAAGCCAATGAAGAGAAGCTAGAAGAACAACAGAAGTGTTTTCAACAAAATGTCTAAGAAAAGTTTTAATTTAACGGAGGGAAGAATACATCATTGATGCTGCCATTCAGAAGATGGAAACTCCAGTCAATCTGACGCCATGTTCACACCACAGCAGGATAGTTCATCTAATCTGACATGAGACGCCCACACTGAATGTCAGCTTCTGTTTGGCTCCGTCTGAAATAAAGAGCAACTGGAAGATGACTGCTGCAGGTTGTGACCTCCTGGCAAAGAGCAGCCTGATGGGCTTCCTATTCACCAACTTCACTGAAGCTGCTGTAGATTTCACTGTTCACAAGACGCTCACTAACGCTGTTATTTTATTTCACTTTATCTCTGCAGCAAATACTATGAGAGGGAAGCTCTGATGCACGACCCGGTCTTTGGTCCCATCCTAGCAGCCCTGCTTGGTGAGAGACTGCAGTTTAAACACCTAAACATGTTCCTAAACCTGGAGGGGAGGACATAAGCCTCACAGAAAAAACAAACTAAAACATGAGCTTAAATAACGGCGATGGGAGGCGGAGCTGTACGATGAAACGGTGGAGCCTCAGTCAGGAACACGAGTTACGCTTTTTATGCTCATCTTCTCTCTTTGGATTAATACAGATTTGACAATAATTCAAGAAGTATTAAGCAAACTGTGTTTCGGATTAGTATTTTTTATCTAGTATTTTTTAGGTATGCATAGAGGAAAAGTATAAAAACATTATTGTTTGGTAGGGGGTGTGGGGGGGTCGCTCTTGTCTTCCTATGTCTCATCATATGAGGTCTCCTAACTTTTACTTAAACATACATTGAAGGAGCTGTAATTTAATGCTGCTGTGTGTCTCTCCTCCAACCACGTAGCTACTGACGTATGTCAGTGAAATACTGGCCCCCTGCCTGTCTTTGCCTGGGGCCCTAAAGTTCCTAAATCTGCCCCTGAATGTAAGAGACTCTTTTTGGCCGCCTGTTTCCTCAGGGGGGGGCCCCAAAGAGGCGCTCGAGTTTTTACACAGATTTCAACCTAATTCCCAAGAATCCAAACCTGCTGCATCGCAGACAGACACATTCATGCGTTCCTTTTTAAAACCACGCCGTGTTTATTTTATTCAATTTATTCATTACTGAATTCTTTTGAGGAATTAATCTTTTATTTTGAAACACAACCTTCATGTTTTCTTTGCTTTCAGTGGGACCCTGTGCTCTGGAATACACAAAGCTGAAAACGTCCGATCATTTCTGGTCAGACCCCTCAGCCAATGAGCTGGTTCAGCGCCACCGTATCCACGGGGCCCACCGCAGCATGGATGTGTCCGGCCGCCGGCCTGCTTTGGGGGTGCGTTCAGATCACGTGTCTCAGGTTTAGGGCTTCTGGAAGTTTGTTTTCTGAACTAAATGTTAAAGACCTGTTTTCAGATCCGTAAGAGGCAGTCCAGCGGCAGCATATCAGAAGATCGGTTTGCAGCGTCTGCCAGAGAGTATGTGGAGTCTCTCCATCAGAACTCCAGAACGCACCTCCTTTACGGCAAAAACAACGTCCTGGTGCAGCCGGTACGTCCCCCTGGCTCTGGCCCCCGCCCGCCGTAGGGATGGAGCCTGTATGCAGTGGGTGTTACTACATCTACGGCGGCGTATTACGGCCATTCAGAAACAAAAACAAAAAACTGAGTTGAACTTTTTTAGTTTGAAGTTGCATTTTTATTCCAAAAAAGTTAAAAAAGCTTTTTTTTTTCAAATTTGAAGACATTTCACTTCCCATCCAGGAAGTTTTTTCAATTCACGTCTTCAAGAAACATCTTCAAACTTGGAAACAAACTCCATTGGATTGTTTTTATATTTTTTGGAATAAAGATGACCTGGATGACTGAGATTTTCACCAGCACTGTGACATTTTTACTAAAATAAACACACACATTTATGAGCAAATTAATAAAAAACCTGCAATAAACACGCCCATTTACGAAAACTACGGAAGCCCAGAGCGGTCGTGTCCCTCAGATGCTTTTTTATTGTGGTTTTCTCGAGAAAACAAGTTAATTATGTCAGTATCTAAAGATAATGAAAGACGTTTTCTCGTGAAAATTAGATAATTGGTGTGAGTCAAAACTGATTCCATCCTTTAATATCACAACAGCGGAAGAGGATTAATAAGTCATGGCAACCTATGTGTAATTCTGTAAAAAATCTTGTGTTCAGGTAACGAGACGACGTTGTTGGTTTGCTTCCACTTCTGATTCGTAAGCAATCAGCCCTATGTCTCCAGGTGTTTGCTGAAAAGCCTGGAACAGCTATAAGATTAACCCCCAAAATGAGTAAAGATTTTCATTAAAAAACAGATTTATGTCTTCTGCAATCGAATCATCCACCACGACCTGACAATAAGTGGAAAGACAAAGGAAACTAAAAAACTGATTATTTATGCACACGCGGCACAGCGACTGCCCAACTAGGGGCTCCGCAGGCATGGATGGACTGGGAATCCAGGGCTGTTGGGCAGCCTCGTTCATTACTCACACAGGTTAATCATCTCATTTTCTCAACAAATCAATTACTGAAAACAATTAATGGTTTAACCGTGGTAACGAGATAGTTATGTCATTATCTCCAGAAGGAAAATGAAAAAAAAAAAAAGTTGAGTACAACCGCTCTAGGCTTCCGTACGAAAACAATAAGCGATTATAAAACACATAAAAGTATGCTACATAAAGCACATGCAAATACATGATTAATGTGGGAGCTTTAGCGATGGAATTAGATGGAACAACGGCCTCATGGAAGTTTTTAAGGTATAGATGAATGATAAATGTGCAGGTTTGTAATCTCGTAAATTAGCATTTTTATTCTTCTAAATGTGCCTTTTTATTCTCGTACATTTGCTACTTGTTACCTTCTAAATGAAGGTTTATAATCTCGTAAATTAGCTTGTTTATTTTTGTAAATATGTCATTAAATTCCTTTTTTTTTCCATCTTTGAATGGCCCTAATATGCCGTATTCTGATCAGGTGAATGAGTTCTGAAAAGACAGCACCTACTAGTGGTGCAGCAGGGAAATGACTTTGATCATGTTAATCTACAGCTTTATGTTTTATGAAATGTTCTCCCATTAACCTCAAACATTGAATCTCTTATTTGCTCCGTCTTCAACATGGCAGAAGAAGGACATGGAGGTGTTACGGGGCTACTTGTCTCTCCATCAGGCTGGGGAAAACCTCACTCTGAAGTGGACCCCTAACCAGCTCATCAACGGTACTCTGGGAGACTGTGATCTGGAGAAAAGGTTAGAGAAGAGAAGCTTTCAGTGTTTAAACTGAACTGAACTTGCTGCCTGTCCAGCTAAACCTGAAATCCCTTTTTCCAGCATTTACTGGGACTATGCACTGACTGTTCCTCTGCGCCAGATCGTTTGCATCCACTGTCACCAACGGCGTGAGTACAGAGCTGCTGGCTCAGTCACCTCTGCAGTGCAGGCTAGAGCTGGGCGATATGAACAACATCTAACATCATCATATATTTGGGCTATATCGCGATACACGATATGTTCTATTCAGTTTATTTCTATAGCTCCAATTCACATCATGTCATCTCAGGTCACTTTCCAGTTCACCAGATCATCCAGTCAGATTGATTCAAAGTTTTCTATCTAAGGAAAACCAGCTGATTGCATCGACTCATTGACTCTTCAGCAATCCCTCACACTAAGCATGCTTGTAGCGACAGTGGAGAGGAAAAACTCCCTTTTAACAGGAAGAAACCTCCAGCAGAACCAGGCTCAGTGTGAGCGGCCATCTGCTGAGGCCCACTGGGGTTCAAGGAGACAGAAGCAGACATAGAAAAAGAAGCATAGATACAAAAGGCAACTGTCAACCAGCTCCACAGGCGGCCCCGTCCAGGAAACACACAGCCAGGCAGACGAGCTCCGAGCCAGCTCCCATGTCAGAGGATGAAGAGAGCACAGAGAATAGAGATAGAATGAAGCAGAATGATGAAAAAGGGGTCCCTATGTCCTCCAGCAGTCTAAGCCTATAGCAGCAGAACTATAGAGATAGCTCAGGATATATCACAATATGATTAAATTACCTTAAAAAAACGATTGAGAGCATAAAATTGCACTGATAAAATCATTCAAACTTTTGGTTTCAAATTTAATTTAATTTAATTTAATTTTAACCAGATCAAAGCTTCTCTGCCGTTTGATGTCTTTGGGTGTCAGAATTAAACCTTTAACAAGAAACAAAGCAAAAACACACCATACTATATAAAATGCAAAATAAAAAAGGGCTCTTTTGTGCATAATTAAAAATAAAATTTCAAAACAAAAGTGGAAATACTGTCCAAAAATTAGAGCATTATCAGAGCATCTATTAGCATTGATCTTTACCTGCTGGGAATTTGAGAACATTGCCAAGTTTAGAAAACACCTGCAAAACCTCTGACCATCACACCACAGATATTAGAGCATCTAAAAAATATTTAAATAAAATAATTAATATCGTCTGTGATTTCCCTGCATCTCTTCCTGTTTCTCTCATATGGGATCGATTTTTCAAACTCGAGGCCAACGCCATCGGCTTCACAGCTGATTGATTGTTTTAATTGGTGAGCAGAGAGACGCTGACATGCAGAGTTTATAACATTCTTCATTCTGCAGCCGATGACTTTTTAGGTGCTGCAATAAATCTGTACTGCTTCCTTTGGCAGCAATGGTTTGCGGCACATCTTACAAATTAGCTCCTTTTGTTCGACGTCCTCGGCTTGAAATCCAAACCGCTGCCGTATATCGCTCAGCTGAATCACCTGCTGTCGCCATCGTTAGTTCGCCGGATGCTTTAGATTCCTAGAAAATAATCCTGTTTGGAGGTATAGAAGCAAATTGGGGCGCCTACAGGCTGGAAATCACGTACAAATCTTGGCAAAAACAGGGTTCTTAGTGGCTGACTCGCACGCCATCGGGTCACAGGCCAAGAGACTTCCAGGAAGTTCTCCAGAGCGTCCAGTCGTGCACATGCATCCACGCAGTGCAACAACTATAAAAGCATCCTGGAATGGAATGAGGGTTGGGAAAAAGCTGAGATGACTGATGATGTAAAGCGCTGTGAGACATTTTACTGAGGACAGCGTGTGAATTTGACTGTCAAATAAACGTCCGGTGAGCAGATCAGATAATTGACCGAAGGCGTCGTGATTTTTGAGATTCTACCATTTCCACAGAGGAAGATTTTATGATGCATTCAAAGTGTGTGGGAAAAATAAAACTCTCTGTAAAATAGATGCAGACGGCTTAATGTCTTCATACGAATTTGGACTCGATGGTTGATAGATAAATTTTAACTGTGGTGTGCTGGGGAAACTCCAGAAACATCGAGTATATCCGATATATCGCCCTCCCGTAGCGCAGACGCAGACGATGTGCTGCCCGATGAGGTCAGGAATGTCTGATCCTAAGAAGGGGAAACTGCAGTCAGTTGCTGATGATCTAAACATGATTATCATCCAATTTACGATCCTCTCTCTGCGTTTCGTTTGCTGTTTCTAATCTCAGATTGAATAACTGTTGGTCTCATATATAGAAACAGGAAAAAAGACCCATTCTATGACGGCTCCCGCCTTCTTTTATAACCTTTCTTTCTCTCTCTAATCCAGCGGATTGTGGAGGAACGCTGGTACTCGTCAGCCAGGATGGCATCCAGCGGCCCCCCCTGCACTTCCCCCCCGGCGGTCACCTGCTGGCCTTCCTGTCCTGCCTGGAAGCCGGACTGCTACCCCGAGGTCAGCTGGAACCGCCCCTCTGGTCCCAGAAAGGCAAGGTAACGACCAACATGGCCGCTCTGCCGGTTTTCAGAGTTCGTATCAAGTGACGCTGGAACTTGCATTTCAGCCAGAAGAACGTAGATGTTCACGTTCAAGAGTCAAACTACCTTTCAGAATCCAGTAGGTTGTGTGTTTGGGTTGCAGGGGAAGGTGTTCCCTAAGCTGAGGAAGAGGAGCAGCGCGGCGCGGCTGATGGAGCAGGACAGAAACGGCGAGGACCAGACGGCGGCCGATTACGTCTTTCGCATCGTCTACCCAGGATACCGCTATGACGCCAGTAAGCGACCGTTCACTGTAGCATCACCAGGACAGGAAGTGCTGCTGAAGTCTGTAGCTAACGCTAATCTCTGTGTGAGGTGTTCAGCTGTTGTGCAGTGAGGTGGTTTCTTTGGGAGGCGTTCAGCGCAGCCTTTTTCTCTAACCACATTCTCTGTTGTTTCGCTGGTGCAAGCAGTCACCATAAACTACCACCACACCACGGGCAGCCGCGCGCCGTCGCTGGACGACGATGAGGAAGAGGAAGATAGGCTCCATGCTATGATCTCAATGATCTGCTCGCGGAACCTCACAGACCCTAATGTCCTGAAAGGTTTTTATCACCTTGACACACCCACCAAACCCCACTGCCCCCCCCAGACCTCACCCAGCTTCAGATTCTCTCTCCTGCCTCTAACTCCGCCCACCTTTCCGTGTCCTCTCTCCCCCTCTCTCTCCCCCTCCCTAAGCCCCCCCCCCAGCTTTGCCTGCCTGTCTGTGTGCTGCCTGACTCTGAGCCCGACGCTGAGGAGAAGCTTAGACCAGTGTTGCCAACTCCTCAGCAAGAAAACCCACTATTGGCTGTCCTAGAAGGCGCTAGATGATGTCATTGCATAATTTACATACCTCATGTCATCCGACTGCAGGAGACTCTGAATCCCTACTATTGGTTTGTTTTTGTTTTTTTTGCTGTCTGTTAAACCAGTGCAGAGAGTTTTACAGAAACAAGTAAAGAAAAAATACATATAATTCAGCCATTTAGTTCCAAACTGCATAGAAATTAGTTTTCTGCCATCATGCAAAAAAAAAACATGAAGAAGTAAGCAGACATGAGCCGTTTCTCAATCAGTGTACTTGTGCGTCCTCGTGTCCTCGTGAAACGTCATCAGCCTCAACACTAGCAGTGTTCCAGTTCAGAAGAACAGCAGACAGAATGGACAAAGTCCCCGGATGTTGTTCTGGCCCCTCCCTCTTTACCCAGCATGCATCAGAGCAGACTTGTCCGTTCTCCAGACTGACAGCTGTCCCAGCATGCACTGCAGCAGCAGCAGCTTCCAGGTTAGCGCTCACAGAGCTCAGAGAATTAAGTTTAAAGTTCTCTTTTCTGTTGCTGATGTTTAATAAAAGTGCTTTTAACACGAGATGTCCCGAAGAATTCCAGTTTTCCTGCCAGCCCCCCTCCCCTCTTCTAGTCTTTGTATTCACTCTACCGTGCTACCTGTCCTTGTTGTAATGCTAATAACCTGTGATATGATCAGGATTATGGATATGACCGTTTAGAACAGCTCTAGACAATTTTCATATTTTAAAGTGCAGCCCTGAAAACTAATAAATACTTTAAAAAAAATAGTTATATAAACATATTACTGTATATTTACAGTTTTAACATTCATTTTTTTCTTACTTTGGGAAGATAGGCCAAACTGTGTTTCTGGAGATTTATTAATTGTTATTATAAGCAGATAATAACCAATAATTACAGTAAAGATCAGCGGTCCCCAACCTTTTTTGCACCACGGAACGCTATATGTCAGACAATAATTTTGCGGACCGGGGGGGGGGACAGACAGACGGACCGTGTAGGGGGGTGGGGGTTGGATGTTGCGCCGGTTGGGGTTGTACCGTTTTTTACTTGATCGTATTCAAATCCAACCCCCCGCGCGCGGACTGGCCGGGGTGGTAAATACGATCCAGTAAAATGATACGACTGGCATAAAATCAAATACAAACAGCCTAAAAATAATACAACATGCCGGTCCCATCTAGGCGTAATCAGAGACAATGACAGACGTAGTGTTCTCCTGATGTCCAGTCTGCTCCTTTGTTTTGGTCGCTGTAACCGCAGAAAATCCCGCTTCACAAAGATAGGATGATATAGATAGGATGATATAGATAGGATGTTATAGATAGGATGTTATAGATAGGATGAGTCTTAACCTGTCTCAAGAGGCACAGATGCACCGACTGATGGAATTGGGAGAGAATACCAATTTTTTTTATATTTTTCAAAATAAAACATCAGTCAGACTCTGATCGGATAAATTATTCTGTGCGGCCCGGTACCAAATGACCGACGGACCGGTACCGGTCCGCGGCCCGGTGGTTGGGGACCGCCGCTGTAGATCATTGTAGTGCCTCCAAACATAGATAACTTCATCTAGTTCATACTGCAACTCTTACTTTGGGAAAATGTGCTAAACTCTATTTTTTAGATTTTTTTCATTGTTATTCTAAGCAGGCCAGGTGTGCAATCTCTGCAACAGGAACCACAGCACTGAGCGTTGTGTTCACTGCACACAGTATACCTGCCACACATGCAGGAAGGACTCACCTTGGGTTCGTAGAAACTGCTAAATGGGACAATTGTAGCTTCATATGTAGAGCTTTTCCTTGTGTGGAATAAATGTTACTGCTATACTGAAATCAGACTGTTTGTCATTCTCTAAGCTGAAATGTTGAATGATGTTAACAGAACAGATAAAATACAATTATTCTCTACGTTTCTTTCACATAGTGAGCTTTGCAATATAAATGAGTCTGTTGGTGAATGGACGATATAAATAGGCTCTGCCTTGCCTTGTTGGAAAAGCTGGTTATGACCTGTTCTCAGCTCAGGAACTAGGACCCGTATGATATCTGGTTGTTCAATAGCTTTGCCTAAAATAAAGATTTAGTTCTGACTTATCAAGATATTCCTGCAGAAAGGTCTGATGTTGCAGGGGAAGGTAATGAAAGTGTTTGGGGCATGCTCTGGTTCTGATGCCAGTTTGTTTATCCAGTCTCCTGTAGAAGGACTGGTCACATCACAGGTTATTAGCATTACAGTAGGGACAGTTAGCAAGGTAGAGTGAATACACAAACTAGAAGAGGGGAGGGGGGCTGGCAGGAAAACTGGAATTCTCCGGGACGTCTCGTGTTAAATCCGTCTTCAGGGAGCATTTCTGCAGAGGTTGATCGGTTTTTCTGCTGCAGCTTGGCCTTTAGATGTGATCCTAGGCGTTTCGCTTTCTCTCTCAGAAACTCTTCGATCCATTGCTGTGGTTTTGGATGATATTCTTTTTTTAACAATGACGTTTGTTTCATGTTCAGGTTGTTATAAAATAACTTCAGGTTCAACATGAACTGACCAGAATATATTTCCTCCTCATCCAAGTCTCCTGCTGCCTTCTTCAGCGGTGGAGTCTTGTGCATCAAGTAAACATATGGACCATTGCACTGATGCTCTTCCGTCTGCATTATGGCTTCAGAGACACTCGCTGGAACATTTAGTAGTTTAGAAAGGTCTCCTCACTTCCAACGACTATTTATGTAATACTTTAGCAACCAAAAGCCTTTTCATCAGCCATTCATTTTGCTATTGATCCAATTTTCACATGAAAGAAGGAAGGAGTGACTGTAGCTCAGCAGATCACCAGCTATCAGCAGCTTATAACACTGATAACAGGCTGCAGATTTCACATCAATCAGCCACACTGTCAGAAAACTAAGGAGAAGATTTGGTGCAACATTATGTTTCAGAGCTGCAAAGTCACTGTTCTGTCAGATCAGCATATCCATAGTCAATATGCATGTACAAGATGTCAGATTTGCATTGATCCCTTTAGTTTGGTGTGAAAAATATTCTTTAAACTACCTCGAGGAGCGTTTATCCCTTTAGTCATGTACAAAAAAAACAGATCTGCATACTCTTCAAAAGAGTAAGTAATTAAATAGTTTTTTTGTACATGACCAAAGGGATACACGCCCACTGAGGTCGTTTAAAGTTTATTTTTTTGTACAAAATTAAAGGGATAAACAAGTATTGACCATGGGTATGCTGGTCTGACTAGGTGTGCTCATCTCACAGAACAGTGATTTTAAGCCAGAATTTGACCCTCGGTTTACATATCTGGGCTTTGGTGGATCCGGCCTGCAGAATATGCCAGATAACACCTTTCACTCAAGTGCTGCTGCCTTTCTCTGAGGTTTAGAAGATCTGAAGCTTTGTTCACACCGGCCGCGTTCTGAGCGTCAAAGCATCTGATTTACATGCAAAGTCTTTATGGGATGGCATTGAGGGGTCCAGTGGTGTGTTCGAGCATCGGGAGCTGGCATTTTGAGCGTTTTGGCGTCCCAATTCAATTCAGTTTATTTATATAGCGCCAAATTCACAACACGTCATCTCAAGGCACTTTACAGTTCAACCAGATCAT